ACCTCAAAATCAAAAAATCAGACGGAAACAGCCAGCAGACCCCTTTACTCCTAAAAAAAACAAAACGTACAAAATAAAGCACCGCTGTGCTGGTCTCCAGCAGAGAAGGCATTTAATTACACCAAAAATCGTCTTCATAATTTAAAGAATGGACAAACGTTAAAAAAAAAAAAAGTAGGTGCAATGCCGCCAAAAAACTTATATTAAGAGAGTGCGTAGAGAGACAGATGTAAAAAATAAAAAAACAGCATCACAATCAATAAACTACCGCAAAAGTACAAATTCCCAGAAGTAGAATGACAATCGACACACCTTTATGCCTACAGCTGCCACCCTCACTTCGTTCATGGGACGAACCCTCGCTCATGGAGCTGCCACCCTCACTTCTTTCATGGGACGAACCCTCGCTCATGGAGCTGCCACCCTCACTTCGTTCATGGGACGAACCCTCGCTCATGGAGCTGCCACCCTCACTTCGTTCATGGGACGAACCCTCGCTCATGGAGCTGCCACCCTCACTTCGTTCATGGGACGAACCCTCGCTCATGGAGCTGCCACCCTCACTTCGTTCATGGGACGAACCCTCGCTCATGGAGCTGCCACCCTCACTTCGTTCATGGGACGAACCCCCGCTCATGGAGCTGCCACCCTCACTTCGTTCATGGGACGAACCCCCGCTCATGGAGCTGCCACCCTCACTTCGTTCATGGGACGATCCCTCGCTCATGGAGCTGCCACCCTCACTTCGTTCATGGGACGAACCCTCGCTCATGGAGCTGCCACCCTCACTTCGTTCATGGGACGAACCCTCGCTCATGGAGCTGCCACCCTCACTTCGTTCATGGGACGAACCCTCGCTCATGGAGCTGCCACCCTCACTTCGTTCATGGGACGAACCCCCGCTCATGGAGCTGCCATCCTCACTTCGTTCATGGGACGATCCCTCGCTCATGGAGCTGCCACCCTCACTTCGTTCATGGGACGAACCCTCGCTCATGGAGCTGCCACCCTCACTTCGTTCATGGGACGAACCCTCGCTCATGGAGCTGCCACCCTCACTTCGTTCATGGGACGAACCCCCGCTCATGGAGCTGCCACCCTCACTTCGTTCATGGGACGAACCCTCGCTCATGGAGCTGCCACCCTCACTTCGTTCATGGGACGAACCCTCGCTCATGGAGCTGCCACCCTCACTTCGTTCATGGGACGAACCCTCGCTCATGGAGCTGCCACCCTCACTTCGTTCATGGGACGAACCCCCGCTCATGGAGCTGCCACCCTCACTTCGCTCATGGGACGAACCCTCGCTCACGGAGCTGCCACCCTCACTTCGCTCATGGGACGAACCCTCGCTCATGGAGCTGCCACCCTCACTTCGTTCCTGGGACGATCCCTCGCTCATGGAGCTGCCAACTCCACTTTCATTCCCAGACCCAGTTGGTGTTCCTCTCGTGGCTTCACAGTTGCCGCAGCATATCAGCACAAATAATAGAAGCAGCACCGCAGAAGCAAAAAGATTCCGGAACATGTTGGGCATTTGGTGGTGAGCCATCTTTTCCCTCCCTCCTTCCGCTGGATCAGCTCACACTGCGACCTTGGTGTGTTTGTGTGTGTTATCTTGACAGCAGCTGCTCTGGTGTATATGTGCGTGAACGGTCTGTTCTGGGTCCTTTCAGAGACTTCGGAGTGCACAGTAACGATTATCGTTTGGTAGTAACTTCCTTTCATGGTGTGTGGTGTGTGTTCAAGAAGTGGTAAAGCAACGGCAGCGAAAAATCAGACACGACAGTGGTGAGCAAAGCAGATCGCTCTCTGCATCAGCGGAACACAATAAAAACCAGTGAAAAAAAAATCAACATGGACGGCCGTCGCCCTTGGAGAAAAAAAACAACGCGGCAAGGCACTGCGGAGCCCAGCACACACACACAGACAAAGAGGGTGCGGAAAAGGGCAATGACCCTCTCGCAGACCCCGCGCCCACTGGCTCCACAAAACCCAATCGCCACGCTCCGCCATTCCCCACCGGCCATCATGCGCACTAAGGCGGATCGTCGGTGTGTGCGGGCCAGGCATCCCGCGCTGCAACACACATCACGAGCAGTATAGAGAGACGTGTCGTCAAGGGGCACTCACGATCAACACCGTCCGAAAGCATGCGGCCATTCCACGCAGGAACGCAGGAGCAAAGTAAAAAAGGAAACAGCAGCAAAAAAAGACAGGAAGCACGGAAGGGACAAATTGCGGGCGGGAAAAGAACCACCAAGACCCTCCCCCTGGCCGGCGCCACAGCCCCATCCCCCACACATGCGCACAGTGACAACGCTGCCAGACCGCGCACGGGAAACAGCCGGCCCTCCACACAAAAAACATACACCGCGCCAGAAGTCACCCCCAACTCTTTTCCACAGATCCGGAACAGACACACCGCTAGTCACGTGCAGGGGCGGCCCCTCAGCCACCCGCCACGCGGTGACAAAATTTACTGCTGTCCCGCCCTCAGTGGGATGCGGCGCCTCACTCCAAACGGACACACGCGGTACCCTACACCCAGAGGGAAAAAGAAGCACACCGTACTATCCGTGTGTCCTTCCTCCTCCTAGTTCGGACACAGCAGCAGCGACACGCAAAGGCCAGCAGGGAATAAGAAGGGGCCATCCAGGTGCATCGTCACGTCATAAATATCGTCTGCGTGGGGCCACGAGTGCATGTAGGTGCGCAAAGAAAAAGAAAAGAAAAGAAAACGAGAAGAATCAGGCAACCGAAGAGAAACACCAACACAGCACGGGCGTAAGACAAAGAAAAAATAAGAACAGGCCCAACTCGGGAGTGCACCGCAGCCACAAAACTCAAAAATCGCGGAACATTTATTTCTCAACCATCAGAACCCGTCCTTTTACAAAATTTTCACGAAATAACCAAAAAAAAAAAAGAAGGGAAAACAAATCTTATCGCAAAGGATCACAGAGAGGCATCCCACGCTTCTGTGTCAAGTTTGCCAGCAGAAACATGTCTCTATTTGTTTCAGCCGATTAAGCCCACTGTGTCCACGCACCGTTTATATTACACCGTGACACTCCATTCGTTCCTCTACTGATCAATTCCATATTATTTCCATCGGCATCCGTCGGCGTGGTACAAAATACCTCAAAAATCAAAAAAATCAGACGGAAACAGCCAGCAGACCCCTTTACTCCTAAAAAAAACAAAACGTACAAAATAAAGCACCGCTGTGCTGGTCTCCAGCAGAGAAGGCATTTAATTACAACAAAAATCGTCTTCATAATTTAAAGAATGGACAAACGTTAAAAAAAAAAAAAAGCAGGTGCAATACCGCCAAAAAACTTATATTAAGAGAGTGCGTAGAGAGACAAATGTAAAAAATAAAAAAACAGCATCACAATCAATAAACTACCGCAAAAGTACAAATTCCCAGAAGTAGAATGACAAGCGACACACCTTTATGCCTACAGCTGCCACCCTCACTTCGTTCATGGGACGAATCCTCGCTCATGGAGCTGCCACCTTCACTTCGTTCATGGGACGAACCCCCGCTCATGGAGCTGCCACCCTCACTTCGTTCATGGGACGAACCCCCGCTCATGGAGCTGCCACCCTCACTTCGCTCATGGGACGAACCCTCGCTCATGGAGCTGCCACCCTCACTTCGCTCATGGGACGAACCCCCGCTCATGGAGCTGCCACCTTCACTTCGTTCATGGGACGAACCCCCGCTCATGGAGCTGCCACCCTCACTTCGCTCATGGGACGAACCCTCGCTCATGGAGCTGCCACCTTCACTTCGCTCATGGGACGAACCCCCGCTCATGGAGCTGCCACCCTCACTTCGTTCATGGGACGAACCCTCGCTCATGGAGCTGCCACCTTCACTTCGTTCATGGGACAAACCCCCGCTCATGGAGCTGCCACCTTCACTTCGCTCATGGGACGAACCCCCGCTCATGGAGCTGCCACCCTCACTTCGTTCATGGGACGAACCCTCGCTCATGGAGCTGCCACCTTCACTTCGTTCATGGGACAAACCCCCGCTCATGGAGCTGCCACCCTCACTTCGTTCATGGGACGATCCCTCGCTCATGGAGCTGCCACCCTCACTTCGCTCATGGGACGAACCCTCGCTCATGGAGCTGCCACCTTCACTTTGCTCATGGGACGAACCCTCGCTCATGGAGCTGCCACCCTCACTTCGCTCATGGGACGAACCCTCGCTCATGGAGCTGCCACCCTCACTTCGTTCATGGGACGAACCCTCGCTCATGGAGCTGCCACCCTCACTTCGTTCCTGGGACGATCCCTCGCTCATGGAGCTGCCAACTCCACTTTCATTCCCAGACCCAGTTGGTGTTCCTCTCGTGGCTTCACAGTTGCCGCAGCATATCAGCACAAATAATAGAAGCAGCACCGCAGAAGCAAAAAAATTCCGGAACATGTTGGGCATTTGGTGGTGAGCCATCTTTTCCCTCCCTCCTTCCGCTGGATCAGCTCACACTGCGACCTTGGTGTGTTTGTGTGTGTTATCTTGACAGCAGCTGCTCTGGTGTATATGTGCGTGAACGGTCTGTTCTGGGTCCTTTCAGAGACTTCGGAGTTCTTAGTAGCAATTGGCTTACGTTGATAAATTCCTTCGTGGAGGAGGGCAAAAGACAACATTGACGGAGAAGCAGCAGAAGAACAGTATAAACTGTCACTAATTATGGTGGACCACAAAGTTCTTTTTCCCAAAGTGACTATTTCTCAGCGTTTCTCGGCAGAATAGATAAATAAAAACACAAAGTGAGCGGCCTCACAATGAGAAGGGCAGGTGGTGGACCTAGAATTAAGGCAAAGGAAAAGGTGCTACGAGTGCGATGAAGTACAAGACCATTACACCGATCTGAAACCCGGTTGGTGAAAATAGGGCTGCGGTGACACGGTTTTTGTTTTCGCGCTAGAATTATGGAAGAAAAGCATGACATCTCCCTAATGGAAAGTTGTTTCGCCCATCCTCTGGATTTATTTTTGTTCGGTGGTCTCACCGGAATCATGTCCAATCTTCTGAAGGGCAAATCGAAAAACCGTTCACTGCCACATCGTAGATAATATACCCCTTCACCCCACGCCGGGCTAGTCCCTTCCAGATTATTGAGAATGTTATCTCACCCATGTATTATGTCACGGTTTTGGTGGTCTTTTCAAACAGGAACGCCTTATTCCCAAGGAAAGTATGCAACCACCTGGAGTTTCTCCGCATCGCAGTGCAGCAGCTGGTAGAGGAGGTACGAGCCGGCAGCCACCGACTTCCCGATCCCGGGCGTCCCAATCAACAGACGCTGCTTGGGCTCAAAGTCGGTCCGACCGTGATGGGTGGACCACGCGGTTAGATCGCCAAGCACGATCTGCCACACTCGATCCACCTCACAGTTCACATAGCAGTCACAAGTGGATTTATTCTCCTTCCACTTCCACGTGTACGGCCATCCCCTGTCCGAGGTGAGCACCATCAGCCTGAGACGCTCTGCACCGGATTGCTGCACATCGTCATCCTTTTCGAGGGTGCCGCCAACTGCCTTGTACGTCCATGACTGCGGTGGTTTCCCCTCCTTCACCTCCATTCCCGTCCCCTCGCCGCCAGGAATTTCCACCACATGGCTCCACCTCGCATTTTGTACACAGACTCGTAGAACCCCTCCGAGGTCTGTCTCTTCTGCCTTTCGCTTCTCTGTTTCTTCTTATTTCATTACCTGAGAGGGAACTGCGTTTATTTTTACCCTTGCAAACAAAGTGACCGTGTAATTCCTTTCAAAATCCCTCCATTGTTCAAAAGTGGGCATACCTTCTTGCCAAAGAGTGTTTTTGCTTTAAATCCTTTTGCAACTGTTGTTGTTGGTTTGATTTTCGCCTTATATCCACACGTCAAAGCAAAAAAAGCAAAGAAAATATAGTGAGTACCCCCCTTTAGGGGCATTGTTTGCCTTTTCGCACCAACCTCAAACAAGTAAAGACAGTAGAATCTAAGGTACTACAAGGCATACGCAACGCAATCGCGCGCCATTGCACCCAAAAATAGGGGTGGCCTTGCTTTCGCACCGCTGTCTCCCATTTTCTTAAAGTCAAAACCCAGAATTGAACGCACAACAGAAATGCAAAAGCATAAAAACAACCAATGAAATACCAAACTCAGCTAAATTCACGCCAATTGCACAGTATGCGACAACGCCGAAAACCAGCTCAATTTCCACGACCTCCAGGTATTGGTTTGATAAAGCGACACACCATCATCATCATCATGAAGGTGGCGGCTCTGTCCTTCCTCTGTGGTTGACACGGCAGGAGGAAGCAAAGACACATCGACGGAATAGGCGTTTTTCCTACTTCCAACTAACTGAAGAATAATACAAAAATGCATTCCTGGAAGCACGTGCAAAAAAAAAAAGGGTTGTGTTTAGTAACCGGGTGGTCTCGGGAGGTTCTGCACGCCTCTCGCTATCGCGCTTGCACCATCAATTGGAGTGATGCCCCAAAGACGATGACGCCAGTAACAGAAAAGAAAATAGAAGAACAACACAATGGGGCCAACAACTGATATGTTTGCCACCGTCAGCAGCTTTTTTATCTTGAATTTTTGATCAACAGGCACCTTGTCTAGCCTTTCTTCAAAGATGGACAACTCTTCTTTACGCCTCTTCCAGCGACGGTAAGACCAACGGTTAACTGGATGACTGTCTTTACTCACCTCCCAGTAGCTTCGCTCACGCAATACGTCTTTTTTAAGTGTCTTATTGAAAGCATACAGACGATCTGCATTAACCCTTCCCGCTGCGCCCTTTCTAACAAAGACCGACATTTGCTTCCTTTCTTGTATATTCTTTTGTAATTACTTTTTTTCTTGGCTCCCAAAGAAACGCAAAGCAACAAAAAAAAAAAAAACTGTAAACAAGGGGGAAGGAGAAACCAAAATATGCAATTGAGAAAAAGATACCATGGGCGTTAGATTTTCTCCATGGAAAATCTAATAAATCCTTACCTGTATTTTTCAGTTGTTTTACCGTGCTGGAATTATTCACAGTGTTATTTGCTGCAAGTTTGCCAGATGTGGATGGCTCTTTAAATGTCTCTCCCATGCCTTCACGGCAATGTGCCTTCGGCACACTCTACACATCACCCGTCCGGCTGAGTGCATTTTGTTCCGCTCGTCTCTCGACACATGTCGAGGTGGAACGCGACCTTTTTTTAGGTTCCGTGGATCCTCCATACGCTCATGTTTCTCCGGATATCCGGGAAAATGCTGATCTATGTACTTCTGGAACTGGTTTCTATGGCAAGACCCATAAAGTTTTTTAAACCTCTCGTAGGACTCGTTAATAAAAGTTGTCTCTCCAGGAATCACTTTCCCAGATGCGTCACGCCGCTTTCGCCATTTAAGACCATACGCTCCACACAGATCATCTAGATCCTTTTGTTTCGATAAATCCAAACGCAGTTTGTCATGCGCATCACACTGATTGATATGCATCAGAGCCCCACTAAGACGCTCAAATGGTGTAGCGTCCAGGCCAATGTATCCTCCCTTGTGTACATCAAGTGGAGGTACATGGGCATGCATACTTAGATAATTGCGAAGGGTACGGAGACACTCCTCCCATGGATATGGCCCCTGCATGCCATAACTTTGCCATAGAGGGAGTGACTCCAAATCCCGAATCTGGTATACCTTAAGGTAAGAGGGCTCGTGATTCATGTACTGACGATACCCTTTTCGTGCATACCGGTAAAATAAGGCCATAGAAACGGATTTTTTCCCGATCACCCAAGCATCGTTCGTTTTTGGATACCGGTTACACTCCAAAACAATGCGTCTCAGTTCACCAAATGCAGATTTCCACGGTATGCGCGCAGCCCTATGCAGCCGATCAGTGTTCTGATTGGTATATCGAACACCCCGTCGTATGGCAGGAAGAACAAACTTCCGCAAGCGTTCAGAAGAAAGTTTAAGAGACCTCAGACCAACAACGTCAATGTCATAGGAAACCTTCTGAGGATCAATCAGGTATTCAAACAGAATGGGGTCCTCATCCATTAACGCATCCGTAAAAGGGATCAGGGTAGAGAATTTCTGAAGATTAACAGGATGTGTCTCTGGTAGGTTCTTATCAATGGTAGCTGGCAAAAACACATAGGATTTTGGTTTGTTTTCCATTTTATTGAGTGGCCGGCAAATGCTCTGAACAATATCACGGGAACTGTATCTTGGTGCAGCAAAAAAAACTGCGTTAAGATCAGGTATCTCTACACCCTCTTGAAATAAGCGAACATTGAACAATATACAACGCTTCGAGGCAGAAAAGTCACGCAGAACATCTGTAACGACTCTGCAACCCATTCTGGAATGCGCGAGCATCACATTAAATGGAACGGTATCATCAGGAAAAGGGCATTTTAAACTTTCCGTTAGTTGAATAGCATGCTCAATACTTCGGCAGTAAACTATCATTTTGTCTACAATGCGCATTGCTTCATAAAAGTAAGGATTCATGTCATCCATTTCTTCTCCCAAAACAATTCTTAATGAAAACGCGTTCACGTAACCTGCATCGATTCCTTCTCTGAGATAATAGCGGTATGCTATTCCGCCAAAAAGATGTGTGTTATCCATCTTTATTGGTGTATCGTAGGCAGGAGTCGCGGTAAGAAACAATCGATTTCCGGAACGTGGTTGAAAAAGAACGCTGTTAAAATTAGTTATTGAGGCACTTCCACAAACACGATGGCATTCATCAAAGATTGTTAAGTCAAACACCGAGAGTTTTGAGACGATATGTGATGACTGATATGTGCTAATGACGACCATCTGTGATGAAGAACCCTTGAAGACATTTTCAATCACCCCTTCATCAGTAGTCATCATGAGAGAATTTCCATCGCCAAGCGATACAGAGGTAGGGTAAGATCCAATAAGAAGATACTTAATTTCCCTTAAACCGTAACTGTACAATTTTCTTACCGTTTGTCGGAGTAGCGTTAAACCTGGTACAAGGTAAAGTACCCTTGTATCTCGTTTATTCTTTAAATAATACTCTATAATTTTAAACGCAACAGGAGTCTTCCCACATCTGCAGGCCATTTGGCAGATGGTAGCGCCATGACTCTCAAGCTCCTCACGACATCGCGTCACAGCTTCTTGCTGGTATGGGCGAAGTTTGGTTAAAGAGAAAGACTCCTCTTTGTATGTCTCCAAAACATCAAGGTCGTATTCCTCCTCTTCCTCGTTTTCAGCAAATTTCTCACCCCTGTCTACAGTTATCTTGTCGCATAATGCAGGTTTTCGCACAGAGTCATAAAGTTTCTCTAGTGCTTCCATGTACCTCCCGAGGGTGTTTGGCCTCAATGCATTATGTGTCGAGGAGACGTTATCAGGAAACAACTCTCTTCCACTCCTGCCACGAACAGGACTCTCGGTCGAGCTGTAGTTGGGCTGCATGTTCACCAATGCGTTGAGGTTCAATGCAAGACAAACACGCCGTGCTCCTTCCAAGACTTCCGTAGCACTCCCTTGGATCAATTCACGGTAGAAACA